AAATAGTTCCAAAATGAAAGTTGAACCGACGTCTTTGACGTCATCTGGCCGTGAATTCCACGTCTCTTCTGGCCGTGAATTCAACGTCTCTTCAGCGGAGATATATCCAGCTGCAGACCCGCAGCACCACCAGTTTCAGAACCCCAGTGCCAGAACCCCAGCGCCAGAACCGGAAGTGAGGGAGGGGCGGAATTATTTACAATGACACATTTTTGCAAGTAGGCCTATTTAAAAATATTTAAAATTGTTGCACCTTTTAAATAATATTTAGGGTATGTTTTTATTACACAGTGAGTCACTGCTCGTTGTATGAACTATAACTGGTATGTGACAAATAAAGAGCAAGACAGCGCTCGTGTTGTTCGAAGACGTCAGAGTGCGCGCGCGCGGCCAGGGCTCTCTCTCTGCTCGTTAAGCGCCCTGTCACGCGCAGCAGTCATTCTATTCTACATCACTCACCGATCAAAATAGGCTTTGGCGGGACAAAAATTTGCTTTGGCGGGACAAAAATTTGCTTTGGCGGCCGCCAAAAAGCGGACGATCTGACGGGTTTTAGAATACAACCTGAAACTAAAAAACAGACCCGACCTCTATTTGAAACAGGTGTTCTGACGATTCATGCTACCCATCGAGATTTGCTACTTACTGGTTATGCGCATGTGCAGACTCAGTTTTTTTTTAACAAAAGGTAAATTTTCATGTGTTATAAAGTAATTTCCCTTTTAAAAATGCCAACTACCATATGAATATTTGTACGGTCAGTCAGCTGAACAAGAATAACTGAAAGTTTCAGTTACTAAGGAAAGGTGTGCTTTAACAAGTCAAAGATGAATATTTGATGATAACTTTTACTTTTCACACCGTTTTAAAAATAAAAACAGTAGTCTACAGTATACAGTAGCTACTCATAACTTAGAATTGTGTTATAATTGTATTTCATTTAATATTAATCGACATTCTGTGATCGATTCGCGCTACGGTAGCATTTTTCGACAAGGCAGCACAAATCGTCAGAACACCGGCCTTATATTTACCCAGACCTGCAGCCACACCAGGCATGTAAAGAGACAATCGTCTATTTGGGACTCGGCTATTATTTGAAGTACGGTACATTTTTATTGTTTCTTTTAAAACAATGCCGGATTTTCTCTCTCTTTTTAGATTTTTGACATTATTTTACATAAAGAAAAATGCATGCTGCACATGTTCTTGTGAAATAAAGTATATTTTATATAAAATGACCATAAGTTTCAAGCATTATTTTTCACCATCATGATCAGGAAGTAACTCTCATAATACAATGAAACGGATAACTATATAGAATTATATTACACAAAATCAACGTTTTAAAATGCTTATTGTACTATACCTTAATGTATCATTATAATATGTATAAAGTATGACGCTTCGTGTGTAATAATTCCGTTTCGTGTCTAAGCAAACTACGCTCCAAAACGTTAGGTGGCGTTACTCGGTTTAGAACGTAAGCTCGGCCCCTCACTTCCGGTCCTGGCGCTGGTGTTAGAACGTAAGCTCCGCCCATTACTTCCGGTTCTGGCGCTGGGGTTCTGAAAGTGGTGGTGCTGCGGGTCTGCAGCTGGATACTATTGCTTCAGCGCGTCCCTGGACGTCTAAATGCGTCGTCATTTGTGTGTTTAAATGTGTTGCTGCATAATTTAAGTGTATATAAGCCTGCATTTAAAATAATCACACACATATTATGTAACATCGTGAAAGGCAATCAAGTCTTGAGGTTTACACACATCTTGACAAAGATTCTAAAAAGGTCCAAAATTGGTCCAGTCAGACCTGACCGTCAATAAAACGTTTTAATCACGTGTACATCACAAACAAGAACACATTATTTGTGGACATAAGAAAAAAAAGAAGCATGTTCTGATTTAGCTAATTTTATTGATCTTGAACAGCCAAAATGTCTCTTAATATTTTTTCAATGTTTAACATTTGTTAACCAAACTAAAATACCAATTACAAAATACTGTATTATATAAAGGGATAGTTCACCCAAAAATGAAAATTCTTTCATTTACTCACCCTCATGTTCCAAACCTGTATGAGTTTCTTTCTTCTGCTGAACACAAAATAATATATTTTGAAGAATGTTTGTAACCAAGCAAATAGAGCAACAATTGACTACCATTATTGGAGAAAGATTAATGGGAAGCGACATCTTGGTTACAAACATCTTTGTGTTTAGCATAACATAGAAAGGTATACAGGTTTGAAACATGAGGTTGAGTAAATTATGACAATTTTCATTTTTGGGTAAACTAGGCTATCCCTTTAAACACATTGTTTGGCTCAGTTTTTGTATCCACCAGCTGTTCCTGGAGCGTGTTTCAGGTGTTCTGCCATTGCTGCATCAATTTCAGAGTCTGTAGCATTTGGGCTCCACCTCTTCACAGCATCTAAGGGAAGAGAATATATATTATATATATATTTAAATAAATAAAATTATAAATTTGAGGTAAATGATATGCACTTATTTTCAAAATATGTTTATGGTCTACAGCAAAAAAAAAAAAACATGGAACAAGATGAATGAGTCATGAATGAAACATTAGAAAAAGGTTATCAACATGCATTACATTTTATTTTATAAAATATGTTCTGCTTTTATTTTTAAAGCAGTTACTGAAAACATACATGTTAAAATCCAGCTAAACATTTCATTCCATTTCAGATAATTTACTTTCTGAAAGAAACTCTCAAAAGGCTACATTAATAAGTTACAGTAATAACTTAGACGGTATCATTAAACAATATACTTGGTATACCGTTGTTGTATACGTTCAAAGTTACTTTTAGCCTACTGGTCAATTTTAGCCAAACTCAGTAAATTTCAGTTGACAATGTGGGCATCATTTCTTTCTGTTCATTCATGTCACACAAGTAAACCTCAAGCACGTTAATCTAATACAAAATGTACTTACCAAACAGTAGATTTTTAATAATACTATCGACACAACTCCATCCTCTCCTCGTGGTTGTTCAAAGTTCTAGAATCTATGGGGAGAACCAGAGCCGTTAAATATGAGAACGCGTTAACATCTCGCGAGAAAATCTATCCTATCGCGGGATTTTGTTTTATGGCGAGATTTTTTGTTCCTACATCTTGGCAGCACAGTTTATGGTTTGGGCAATTAAATCTATGAATTAAATCCAATTCAGACATAAGTGGTGACCGGGTATATTACTGTTTTTGTAGCTATATAAATACATTACATAAAAAATAACAACAAAAACATCAGGTACAACAGGTTAAAATAATGACTAAAATGCAGTGGCTTTGCTATACTGGGCATTTTGTGATTATAATTTATAAAAACAAGATAAAGTAGATATATGTTCTTGTGTATATTAATTGTGTATTTCATAAAGATATAACAGGTTAAAATAATGACTAAAATGCAGTGGCTTTGCAATCACTTGACTATACTGGGCATTTTGTGATTATAATTTATAAAAACAAGATAAAGTAAATATTCATTTGTATATAAATCGTGTATTTTATAAAGAATTATAATTCCTGATAATTTTTTTCTGTCTGGCTAGACTAGACGTGCAAAAGACGCCAGTGGACGTTATTATTCACAGCCTGACTAGACGTGTAAAGGACGCCAGTGGACGTCTTCACAACCTCTTAAAAACTTCATGGGCAATTACATTAATTACTGCAGTATTAACCATGCGAGGATTAAGCGCAGCTTTTGCATATTTAACAAGGATTTCATAGAGGGTCATGATGGACTATAAATGCACGTGGAAAAGACGTCGCCAGGTGACGTCCTCTCACCCGATACACTAAACATAACTACACGTAGCTAAAAGTTAAAATAACAATTATACATGCAACATGTATACATGTACAAATGTATCTGAATGCATTTTTAGGAAATGTTCTGTGTTACATATTTTTACCGATTTATGACGTCCTGGCCGCAACTATTTTTGGCCAGGGACACGACGTTGCCGTCGGACCAATGTTTGCTGGGAATCAAATGGAGTTTTGGGAAAATTATCTTAAATAATTATAAATAATCTGTATTCATATGTATTAATCATGTTGATAACAACAATGTTGATATTTTTAAATAAAAAAAATATTGCATGTTAATCATGTAAATTTCCAGCACCTGTAATAGATGTCCAAATGAGGTCCAAAAAAATGACCCAGTTCAACGGTCAAATGATGAACGTCAACATGACGTCCAAGTTGGGTCATGGTTGGACGTCCAAATAGATGTCCAGAATTGGTCATGGACCGACGGACCCAATATAGACATGATCTGCACGTCCAGTGTTTAGTGGGAACACTTGTACACGTCGACCCACTGAAACTGCAGTCAGATCAAGTTGCATGGAGAAAGCTATCGGTGTGTTTAGAGGAAAGCTGAAGCGTTTCTGTTCTTCCTGCAACTCTGTATAGCGGAGCGATGCTGCGTGACGTGTGTGTGAACACACACCAAACCCTGCACCCTGGAATAGCTCAGTGCCAGATGTGCTTATCAGGAGCTGAAGCTAATGTTCATAGCAGAATGAGGATGTATTAAAGGTTCTGTCCTTCCATTTCACTTGGTTCTGATGTCAAAGAACAAACGTCCTTCTGAACCCGGATCTACTTCCAGCCGAGAGCAGGAGCTGCGGCCAACAACTGCAATGTTCAGTGGCACGTTTCTAAACTCCTGAATGAATAAACTAACCTGATACTTTCTTCTGTGTGTGTGTGTGCGTGCGTGCGTGTGTGTGTGTGTGTGCGTGCGTGTGCGTGTGTGCGTGCGTGTGTGTGTGTGTGTGCGTGCGTGTGTGTGTGTGCGTGCGTGCGTGCGTGTCTGTGTGTGTGTGTGTGTGTGTGTGCGTGCGTGCGTGCGTGTGTGTGTGTGTGTTGTTCCAGGTCTCAGGCATGAGCTGCAGTGAGTCACAGGATTACTGCGTCTGCTTCTCCTGCGCTCTCACACACACACACTCACTCTCACACACACACACACACGCGCGCGCACCTCTAAAGACGTCTTCAGATGGGCAGCGGCTGCTTCTTCACTCTCTCTCTACAGAATGAGGAATAAACAGACTTTACTTCTTCTCCTCTCTGTGTGTGTGTGTACGGGTGAGTGACTGTGTTTCTGAGAGACTAGTTTAATCAGGTTCAGATCTCTGAGAGTCTCAATAATCCTTTAAGTATAATGGACTAAGCAGAGCTACTGGGTTACTTGTCCTTTAATATACACCTTTAACTTTAAACATTACAATTTACAGTGGAACTATTGTATTATCTTTAGAGTAGTTATCTAAAATGCATGTAATTCTCACTTACTAAGACTGAGTTTCAGTAGAATTGTTCTGAATAGATTCTGTGTCCGTGATTCCTCTGAATTCTGTCAATCTAACAAAGACATCACAACCTACACTGTATTTCTTACTGCAGTCTCAGGTTTTTTGTGTAAACATCCTGATGTTCAACATTTGAAGTGTATTTCTGTGCTATTTGATGCTGAGTTTGAAGTTTCTGTGTTTTCAGGCAAATCTGATTTCGCACCGTATTTCTATGATAATGGATCTGGCAGCAACAACGGAAACATGGCGCTGTTCAGTATCGCTGAAGACACGGCTGTGGGTGAGTGTTCAAGCACACCTCTCTTCTGTGTTCTGTAGAGAAGAAGAACAGAGGAACCTCTAATACTGCACATGCACAGACCGACTGCAGGACCACAGAGATGAGATTAACCTCTGATCATGCTGAATTCATATTTGTGTGCAGAAATTAATCTCTCTAAATCATTTTCATGAAATCAGATAATTTAGCTCATTGTAATGCGACATGAGTGACAGTGGGTTTGGGGTTAGGGTCGTACTGTATGAACACATCTGGACTGGTTAGGGTTAGGGTCGTACTGTATGAACACATCTGGACTGGTTAGGGTTGTACTGTATGAACACATCTGGACTGGTTCGGGTTAGGGTCGTACTGTATGAACACATCTGGACTGGTTCGGGTTAGGGTCGTACTGTATGAACACATCTGGACTGGGTTAGGGTCGTACTGTATGAACACATCTGGACTGGTTAGGGTTAGGGTTGTACTGTATGAACACATCTGGACTGGTTAGGGTTAGGGTCGTACTGTATGAACACATCTGGACTGGGTTAGGGTCGTACTGTATGAACACATCTGGACTGGTTCGGGTTAGGGTCGTACTGTATAAACACATCTGGACTGGTTCGGGTTAGGGTCGTACTGTATGAACACATCTGGACTGGTTCGGGTTAGGGTCGTACTGTATGAACACATCTGGACTGGTTCGGGTTAGGGTCGTACTGTATGAACACATCTGGACTGGGTTAGGGTTAGGGTCGTACTGTATGAACACATCTGGACTGGGTTAGGGTTAGGGTCGTACTGTATGAACACATCTGGACTGGTTAGGGTTAGGGTCGTACTGTATGAACACATCTGGACTGGGTTAGGGTCGTACTGTATGAACACATATGGACTGGTTAGGGTTAGGGTCGTACTGTATGAACACATCTGGACTGGGTTAGGGTCGTACTGTATGAACACATCTGGACTGGTTCGGGTTAGGGTCGTACTGTATGAACACATCTGGACTGGTTAGGGTTAGGGTTGTACTGTATGAACACATCTGGACTGGGTTAGGGTCGTACTGTATGAACACATCTGGACTGGGTTAGGGTTGTACTGTATGAACACATCTGGACTGGGTTAGGGTCGTACTGTATGAACACATCTGGACTGGGTTAGGGTTGTACTGTATGAACACATCTGGACTGGTTAGGGTTAGGGTCGTACTGTATGAACACATCTGGACTGGGTTAGGGTTGTACTGTATGAACACATCTGGACTGGTTCGGGTTAGGGTCGTACTGTATGAACACATCTGGACTGGTTAGGGTTAGGGTTGTACTGTATGAACACATCTGGACTGGGTTAGGGTCGTACTGTATGAACACATCTGGACTGGGTTAGGGTTGTACTGTATGAACACATCTGGACTGGGTTAGGGTCGTACTGTATGAACACATCTGGACTGGGTTTGGGGTTAGGGTCGTACTGTATGAACACATCTGGACTGGTTCGGGTTAGGGTCGTACTGCATGAACACATCTGGACTGGGTTAGGGTCGTACTGTCTGAACACATCTGGACTGGTTCGGGTTAGGGTCGTACTGTATAAACACATCTGGACTGGTTCGGGTTAGGCTCGTACTGTATGAACACATCTGGACTGGTTCGGGTTAGGGTCGTACTGTATGAACACATCTGGACTGGTTCGGGTTAGGGTCGTACTGTATGAACACATCTGGACTGGGTTAGGGTTAGGGTCGTACTGTATGAACACATCTGGACTGGGTTAGGGTTAGGGTCGTACTGTATGAACACATCTGGACTGGGTTAGGGTTAGGGTCGTACTGTATGAACACATCTGGACTGGGTTAGGGTTAGGGTCGTACTGTATGAACACATCTGGACTGGGTTAGGGTCGTACTGTATGAACACATCTGGACTGGTTAGGGTTAGGGTTGTACTGTATGAACACATCTGGACTGGTTCGGGTTAGGGTCGTACTGTATGAACACATCTGGACTGGGTTAGGGTTGTACTGTATGAACACATCTGGACTGGGTTAGGGGTATGAACACATCTGGACTGGGTTAGGGTCGTACTGTATGAACACATCTGGACTGGTTAGGGTTAGGGTTGTACTGTATGAACACATCTGGACTGGTTCGGGTTAGGGTCGTACTGTATGAACACATCTGGACTGGTTAGGGTTGTACTGTATGAACACATCTGGACTGGGTTAGGGTCGTGCTGTATGAACACATCTGGACTGGGTTAGGGTCGTACTGTATGAACACATCTGGACTGGTTAGGGTTAGGGTTGTACTGTATGAACACATCTGGACTGGGTTAGGGTCGTACTGTATGAACACATCTGGACTGGTTAGGGTTAGGGTTGTACTGTATGAACACATCTGGACTGGGTTAGGGTCGTGCTGTATGAACACATCTGGACTGGGTTAGGGTTGTACTGTATGAACACATCTGGACTGGGTTAGGGTCGTACTGTATGAACACATCTGGACTGGGTTAGGGTTAGGGTCGTACTGTATGAACACATCTGGACTGGTTAGGGTTAGGGTTGTACTGTATGAACACATCTGGACTGGGTTAGGGTCGTGCTGTATGAACACATCTGGACTGGGTTAGGGTCGTACTGTATGAACACATCTGGACTGGTTAGGGTTAGGGTTGTACTGTATGAACACATCTGGACTGGGTTAGGGTCGTGCTGTATGAACACATCTGGACTGGGTTAGGGTTGTACTGTATGAACACATCTGGACTGGTTAGGGTTAGGGTTGTACTGTATGAACACATCTGGACTGGGTTAGGGTCGTGCTGTATGAACACATCTGGACTGGGTTAGGGTCGTACTGTATGAACACATCTGGACTGGTTAGGGTTAGGGTCGTACTGTATGAACACATCTGGACTGGTTAGGGTTAGGGTTGTACTGTATGAACACATCTGGACTGGGTTAGGGTCGTGCTGTATGAACACATCTGGACTGGGTTAGGGTCGTACTGTATGAACACATCTGGACTGGTTAGGGTTAGGGTTGTACTGTATGAACACATCTGGACTGGGTTAGGGTCGTGCTGTATGAACACATCTGGACTGGGTTAGGGTCGTACTGTATGAACACATCTGGACTGGTTAGGGTTAGGGTTGTACTGTATGAACACATCTGGACTGGGTTAGGGTCGTGCTGTATGAACACATCTGGACTGGGTTAGGGTTGTACTGTATGAACACATCTGGACTGGTTAGGGTTAGGGTTGTACTGTATGAACACATCTGGACTGGTTCGGGTTAGGGTCGCACTGTATGAACACATCTGGACTGGTTAGGGTTAGGGTCGTACTGTATGAACACATCTGGACTGGGTTAGGGTCGTACTGTATGAACACATCTGGACTGGGTTAGGGTTAGGGTCGTACTGTATGAACACATCTGGACTGGTTCTCCACAGGGACTCATGTGTACACGCTGAACGGCTCCGACCCAGAAGGGGAACCCGTGACCTACGGCGTGACCTTTGATAAGGGATCCAGAGAGTGTTTCAGCGTTGAGCCCAAATCAGGGAATGTGACGCTCGTGGAAAGTCTGGACAGAGAGGTGAGTGTGTGTGTCATTACAACGGCACAATATAAGGACATAAATCAGGAGGAATACCAGCTGAAGTCTGAGATTTGTGTTAATAATTAAACTTGTTTTGATTGTTCAGGTTCAGGATGAAATCGCCGCATGCGTGACCATCACAGATGGAAGAAACAAGGTGAAAAAACACCATTACAATAAGATTTAATTACAGGCTAACTTCTTAAAGTGGAAGCGTGTCATTGTTTGTATGTTCAGCTGTTAGTGGCGTGTCCGTTTCAGTCGCGGTCAGTCATTGGTCAGTTTAACTGTAAAGAGTGAAACACTGTCAGACGGACGCATCTGACCCGAAGAGGTGCATGTTGGGTAGAAATGCACAGACCGACGCATCTGACCTGAAGAGGTGCATGTTGGGTAGAAACTGGAGACGTCACAGTGACGAAAGATCAGCGATGACGACAGAGGTTTCACTAACCCATACTTTTATAAAAGTAAAAACTTTAATGTAATTTTAATGTTTATTAACATAAAACTGATAAAAATGACATTCTGATGCTGTATTAAGCAGTAGAGAAAGTTTTGAATGAAAAGTGTTGCTACATGTAAACGTCTAAAACAAACGTGTTTGTAAAAAGCTACAGTTAGTGCATGTAATCTCTCCATCTGCGATCGAGAACGCCACGAACGCCACGAACGCCACGAGCGCCACGCACGCCACGAACGCCACGAGCGCCACGCACGCCACGAACGCCACGAGCGCCACGAACGCCACGAGCGCCACGAACGCCACGAGCGCCACGAGCGCCACGAACGCCACGAACGCCACGAGCGCCACGAACGCCACGAACGCCACGCACGCCACGAGCGCCACGAACGCCACGAGCGCCACGAACGCCACGAGCGCCACGAACGCCACGAACGCCACGAACGGCACGAACGCCACGAGCGCCACGAACGCCACGCACGCCACGAGCGCCACGAACGCCACGAGCGCCACGAACGCCACGAACGCCACGAGCGCCACGAGCGCCACGAGCGCCACGAGCGCCACGAACGCCACGAACGCCACGAACGGCACGAAGCCACGAGCGCCACGAACGCCACGAACGCCACGCACGCCACGAGCGCCACGAACGCCACGAGCGCCACGAACGCCACGAACGCCACGAGCGCCACGAACACCACGAGCGCCACGAACGCCACGAACGCTTATTCTTATGCTTATGTTTATGTTTATGGTTATTCTTATGCTTATGCTTATGCTTATGTTTACGTTTGGATGTAGGAATGTTTGGTAAATAATCGTTCATTTAGGATTTTGTTCATTAATTATTATTTAGTCCCATAGTCCTCTGCATATTATTGTGTTTAATGTGCTTTAATGTACATTTTTGCCTGTGCATATCCAATTTTTCAGATCAAATTTACTTTATACCTCGTTTCTCCAGGTGGTAGAAAATGTACGAGTGTTTATCACAGATGTTAATGACGAAAAGCCTGAGTTTTTAAATCGACCCTTTATAGTGGATGTCCCTGAGGTAAGAGTGAAATCAGTTTATATATATATATATATATATATATATACATGTGTGTGTGTTATAAAACACAGTCCGCATGATTATGATCTGTGTTGAAGGACGTTCCCTCGGGCAGCAGCTTCTACAGAGTCCAGGCCGTCGACAGAGACATCGGCTCCGGGGGAAGTGTTTCCTACTTCCTGCAGGTGAAGATAAACTACTTCCTGTAGGTCAGGCTAAACTACTTCCTGTGGCGTCAGTGTCACCATAGACATAATAGAGAGTAGACGCGCTATCGACCGCTGCTGCCGACTGGCGCGGACGAGCAGTGGGGCCGCCGTCTTGGACCGGTCACCCGCTCCGCTCAGTGTAATCTGTTTGGCAGGTGCAATGAGCTGTCAGCGCATTTAATTAATCATATCTCACTGAATACCCAACTGATTTTCAGGCGGGGTTTTTTTGCTGCAAAGATCATTCATGTAGCTATGATACAGGACACATGGTACAAATACACAGAATACAACCAATAGTACAGTAATGTTAAATCTTACTTGTGAAAAGTAATCCCCCGAGCCCTATTTGCGATGGTCTGCCGATTTGAGCAGGAATATGCTGAATATGCTGAATATGCTGAATATGCTGCACAGTGCTCTGGCATCTGAACTGCTGCTACGCAACGCTATTAGGAGTATGACCGGTTAAAGATGGCGGCCGCATTTCTTGCGCCCAGCGGCCAATAGGGCGTCTAGCTCTATATTATGTCTATGAGTGTCACTCGAGTGTCACTCGTTCTCAGGGGAATGAGTTTAAAAGAATGACCACTGAGGATGAGATTCGACTCTGGGTCGAGGACAGTGTGGGACGCTGGCGAACAGACCTCGACACTAAAGTGCCATCAGAAACTGTTCTGCTACTGGATTAAATTTCAATTACATTTATGCAGGTTGAGGCTTAGCCTGGCTTACACACACACACACACACACACACACACACACACACACACACACACACACACACACACAAGTGTCTGGCCTCTAGTGCTGCTTTTCCAGAGGAAAAACTAGAAAACTCAATGTCTAGTATTCTTCTACTTTTTTAAACAACCCTCTTCATCATTCCTGATATAATTAGTGTACACTCAGCTTTTATGAGCTCAAATCAATAGAAAGACTAGAAGGAATATTTGTACTTTTACAAATCCACTTGTCACACAGGGCCGTTTACCACGACACTTCCACAGTGTCCGGTGTGTTCTGGGTTCTCGCTCGCATCGGTTTCTTTATGAATGAAAGAATTATATGTTTTGCTGTATCACCGGCATTCCAAACCATCTAATATAAAAGAAAACTGTGCAAACACTATTCACACAAATGACATTTTACATCATGAGTTCATGTACTAGCAACAATTAATGATCACCAAAATTCTCAATATGAGAACACACACAACACGACACGACACATACACTAAACTACACTACACATACACTAACACTACAGATACACTACTCATACACTACACATACACTACTCATAGACTACACATACACTACTCATACACTACACATACACTACTCATACACTACACATACACTACTCATACACTACACATACACTACTCATAGACTACACATACACTACTCATACACTACTCATACACTACACATACACTACACATACACTACTCATACACTACAGATACACTACACATACACTACTCATACACTACTCATAGACTACACATATACTACACATACACTACTCATACACTACAGATACACTACACATACACTACTCATACACTACACATAGACTACACATACACTACTCATACACTACACATATACTACACATACACTACTCATAGACTACACATACACTACTCATACACTACTCATACACTACACATACACTACTCATACACTACACATACACTACTCATACACTACACATAGACTACACATACACTACTCATACACTACACATATACTACACATACACTACTCATAGACTACACATACACTACTCATACACTACACATATACTACACATACACTACTCATAGACTACTCATACACTACTCATACACTACTCATAGACTACACATACACTACTCATACACTACTCATAGACTACTCATACACTACTCATACACTACTCATATACTACACATACACTACTCATAGACTACTCATACACTACTCATACACTACTCATAGACTACTCATAGACTACACATACACTACTCATACACTACTCATAGACTACTCATACACTACTCATACACTACACATATACTACACATACACTACTCATACACTACTCATACACTACACATACACTACACATACACTACTCATACACTACTCATACACTACAGATACACTACTCATACACTACACATACACTACTCATACACTACTCATACACTACTCATACACTACACATACACTACACATACACTACTCATACACTACTCATACACTACACATACACTACTCATACACTACTCATACACTACACATACACTACTCATAGACTACTCATACACTACTCATACACTACTCATAGACTACTCATACACTACTCATACACTACACATATACTACACATACACTACTCATACACTACACATACACTACTCATAGACTACACATACACTACTCATACACTACTCATACACTACACATACACTACACATACACTACTCATACACTACAGATACACTACACACACACTACTCATACACTACTCATACACTACACATACACTACTCATACACTACACATTCACTACACATACACTACACATACACTACTCATACACTACTCATACACTACTCATACACTACACATACACTACACATACACTACTCATACACTACACATACACTACACATACACTACTCATACACTACTCATACACTACACATACACTACACATACACTACACACACACTACTCATACACTACTCATACACTACACATACACTACACATACACTACTCATACACTACACATACACTACACATACACTACTCATACACTACACATACACTACTCACACACTACACATATACTACTCATACACTACACACACACTACTCATACACTACTCATACACTACACATACACTACTCATACACTACACATACACTACTCATACACTACAGATACACTACTCATACACTACACATACACTACACATACACTACTCATACACTACACATACACTACTCACACACTACACATACACTACTCATACACTACACACACACTACTCATACACTACTCATACACTACACATACACTACACATACACTACACATACACTACTCATACACTACACATACACTACTCATACACTACTCATAGACTACACATATACTACACATACACTACTCATACACTACAGATACACTACACATACACTACACATACACTACACATACACTACAGATACACTACACATACACTACACATACACTACACATACACTACACATAAACTACACATACACTACACATAAACTACACATACACTACACATACACTACACATACACTACTCATACACTACACATACACTACACATACACTACTCATAGACTACAGATACACTACTCATACACTACACATACACTACTCATACACTACTCATACACTACTCATACACTACACATACACTACACATACACTACTCATACACTACAGATACACTACTCATACACTACACATACACTACTCATACACTACACATACACTACTCATACACTACTCATACACTACACATACACTACTCATACACTACTCATACACTACTCATACACTACACATACACTACTCATACACTACTCATACACTACACATACACTACTCATACACTACACATACACTACACATACACTACACATACACTACTCATACACTACTCATACACTACTCATACACTACACATACACTACTCATACACTACAGATACACTACTCATACACTACACATACACTACACATACACTACACACACACTACTCATACACTACTCATACACTACTCATACACTACACATACACTACACATACACTACTCATACACTACAGATACACTACTCATACACTACTCATACACTACACATACACTACACATACACTACACATACACTACTCATACACTACTCATACACTACTCATACACTACACATACACTACACATACACTACTCATACACTACAGATACACTACTCATACACTACACATACACTACACATACACTACACATACACTACTCATACACTACAGATACACTACTCATACACTACACATACACTACTCCACCACACTACACATAAACTACACATACACTACACATACACTACACATAAACTACACATACACTACACATAAACTACACATAAACTACACATACACTACACATAAACTACACATACACTACTCATACACAGCAGCAGTCAGAATCTCTGCATGGTTAAAAATCTAGATGTTTGGATCTAAACAATGCAGAAAGTGCATCAGTGTTGCTCTGAGAAACCAGATTCTTCATCATGCGTACTTCACAATCATATTGTGTCACCTGTGTCACGTTCATCATCACTGTCACCTGAGTTCTCCCTCGTTACCATGGTTTCTAATTAGTTTGGCACCTGTTCCCTGTTCTGCTGGTTTTCTCAGTTCTGTGTCCTGCATTAATAGCGGTAGTGGTTATAGCTCTGTGTGTTCATTAAAGCCTCTTGTAAATAGTTTATTCTGCGTCACACATCTCGTTCTTGTTGGATTATCTACACGCACACCGTGACAAGCAGCTTGTAGTGGCGGTTCAGTGTGTGCCATTTGAGTTTTAGTCATCTGTCGGAACAGATTGGTCTGAAACGGTTGAGTTTAACACAAACTGACTGTAATCTTGAGAGACTTGTTATATATTTCAGGAAAGAAATCTTCATCAGTTGTCGTTTCGTTTGCAGTCCAGCAGTAAGTTCACCATCGACGGTCACAGTGGCGTTCTGCGCATCAGACCTGGTGAATCGCTGGATTACGAACTCGCCAGGACTCATTTTGTCACTGTTGTTGCAAAGGTGAGCAGGAAAACCCTGGTTTGGGGTGTTTGCTTTGATCTTTCATAAATGCCTTTATGTTGTAAAAATGAAGTTCAAAGATGAGAAGAATTTCCTCGGAACGTCGTTTCCCATGTGGCCATTGAACTGAGTAAGTATCCGATCATCTGTCTGTTTCTGTGCTGTGTGTCTGTCTCAGGATGGAGGAGGCAAATATCATGGGAAATACCAGGTTATGACCTCGACAGCCATCGTAACCATCAATGTCCTTGATATCCAGGATTCTCCTCCAGTGTTTGTTGGGACTCCGTATTTTGGATTTGTCTATGAAGTCTCTGTACCAGTAAGTATGACACTATTTCATATATACATATATATATTTCTACAATCCTCCCTGAGCTTTAATGACAATGTTCTGTCTTTTTGTCTGTGTTGTGTCCAGGGTTCAGAGATATTCACTGTTTTTGCCAAAGATGGGGACCAGAACAGCCCCAATCCCGTCCATTATTCCGTTCTCAGTGGTCAGCTGCGTTTACTGCTTCAGTGCTGAACATCTGCATTCATGTTATCTAGTTCAATTTATCTACCAATTACTGTCTTAATAATGTTAGAGTGTGCTAAACATAGTTTCAGTAATACTTTGAAAGTTCATCTAAATCTATCGTACGCCGTCTGTGTCTTCTTCTGTTGGCCAAAGGCAGCGACGGCTTCTTCATCATCAACAGCACCAGTGGGAGTATCAGCCTGACATCATTTCCAGTACAGCTGAGGAATGAGTTATACGAGTTAAAAGTCAAGGTTGGCTGTAGTTATAATATGAATATCAGTAAAGATTGAGTAGTATTCATGCATGACACAACCCTTTCTTCATGTTAAACCAAGGCTTCAGAGGTTGGACCTGACAGTGGGTTTGTTGACTTCTCCGTGACCACAGTCACGATTCGTGTGGTGGACCTGAACAACCACCCGCCCACCTTCTACGGCGAGAGCGGGCCCCAGAGCCGCTTCGAGCTGACCATGTACGAACACCCGCCGGAGGGAGAGATTCTCCGAGGCCTGAAGATCACGGTCAACGACTCGGACCAGGTGCAGCAGTCGACACTAAACACCAGTTGCACTCAGTAGGGGTCGCAGCCATTCACTGCGAGAGACGAACATGCCCTTCACGTGGAGAACGTCCCTGAATACCAATCTACATTCTGAGAATATATACAGAGCTGTGAATCAGGGCTGCAACTGACGATTACTCTGATAATCAATTAGTTGGCCGATTCTTTCAAATTGTCCTTCAAACAAACGTGCCAACTGAACGCTATGAAAACATGGAGCTATAAAGCATAAGGGCAGTTTAAATCCCTACATTGAAAAAGAAGATAATAATTAAGATAATAAAGAAAAGAAAAACACAAACTCATTGTTAAGAGATAAGAGGAATGTTCTGCAGGAACACACACTTTCCCTCTGGACACAGTAACCTGTTACTGCCTTTTCTTTATCCTCTACATGTATGAAACGTCTTACATTTTTATTCAATTACACACTATCATCACTTTACAGTTACCGCTCTCATAAAATACTTGAATTACGTGTTAACTTTTAAACCTAAATTTAACGTCCAACAACAGATATTTCAGCAAAAGTAATATTTTATGCGCTGAATATGAATTGTCTTCCTCTGTAATGGCGTTACATTAGGTTGTAATGATGTTTCATCAGTTTGACTCATTCAGTGAATGGAAATACTTACAGAGAAGGATTTATAACCGTAAAATCAAAGTTTTGCTCAGAGGAAATCGCATCTGTCTGAACGCGTAACATCACGCTAATGCTCATGTTTAGGGCAGCTCGGGTCACACACCTTTCCCACGACGCCTCAGTTTCCTACACTGTTTTTACATGCATTAGTTCCATAGAAATGCGTCATTCAGTGCTGAACTTTGACTGGCGGAACTAGGGTTAATCGATCATGACATCCGCTGCCGATGATATTCATGATGGGTTATACTCTGAGTGTGAGAATTAAAGTGCAGGCGGACAGAAGATCAGGTGTTGCTTCAGTCTGAGTGGAAGAGGCTCGCTGACTGTTCTGCTTTCAGAAAACTAGTAATGTTGTACGCATTATACACACAAATCACAATGATGGTGAGGCTCAAACTGCAACATTCACACACGCATCACATTGGAAACCAAAGTCTAATTTAGACTTGTAAAGTTTTTAAAAAATTCTTAGAATTCTGCACTGATTGATCATATCATGCTGGGATAACATATCAGGTTTCATCTGTGTGCACACACACACACACACACACACACACACACACACTCTCTCTTACTCACTCACTCACACACACACACACACACACACACACTTTCTCTCTTACTCACTCACTCACTCACACACACACACACACACACACACACACACACACACTCTCTCTTACTCACACACACACACACACACACACACACTCTTACTCACACACACACACACACAGACACACATGCACACACACACACACACTCTTACTCACACACACACACACACACACACACACACACACACACACACTCTCTCTTACTCACTCACTCACACACACACACACACACACACACACTC